CCCCCAGGCACGTGACGAGCGGGGTCCTGAGGCGAGCCTGGCGCGGCCGAGGCGCCGCACGGGAGGCCGCGCGCGGGAGGCCCGCGGTGCTTCCCGGGCTGCGCCATTCCGCAGGCACACGGGCTCCCCCTTTACCTCTGGTCTTGTTTGTGAGAGTTTGGGTTTTGTTTTTTTTGTCTTTTTTTTTTTAACTCTTTTGTTTCACTCTAGTTGGGGTTCCTCAGCAAGGCCTGCATGATTCCCAAAGCTGTCCCTGTGTGACGGCTACTTGCAGCCTCCACATCTGACCCTGAAGAAAAATGTCTTGTGAGGGTGACAGAGCCCTGGAACAGGCTGCCCAGAGAGGCTGTGGAGTCTCCTTCTCTGGAGATCTTCCAAACCTGTCCCGTGCTCTAGGTGTCCCTGCTGGAGCAGGGGGTTGGACTAGATGATCTCTAGAGCTCCCTTCCAACCTCAACCCTGCTGTGGTCTTGCGGTAGTTTTACCATGTAAGGAGAACTAACATTCATCAAAAAAAAATCCATTCATTTATTATTCTACATCTCATTGCTTTCCCCTATGAGGTAGTAGGCAGTCTCACTTGCCATACCTTTACTATAATATTTTATATATATATATATATATGTTTACTTTCTTATCTATGCCCAGGGCATCTCTGAACCAAGGGCACAAGCTGTGCTGGGTTTAGCAGGGCGAGGGGAGCGTGTGTAGCCTTCCTTCCTTGACCTGTGGTAGACAGTGTTTGAGAGCCTGGCAAACCTCATGCAGACCTTTGGTTCAGAGACAGAGTTTTTTTCGCTGAAAAACAGAGATAACCTAAGGACTGACAAATACTGACTCAGAAAGAACTGAAAATTTTACTCTGAAAAAATGTAAGAAAGATATGAAAATAATTTGTTTGGGTGTTTTTCTGGAAATGACTGAAGCTAATCATACATAGAAGAGGGGGAAAAAAAATCCCACTCTTACTTAACTTCACCTTTATTTCTGTTCCCCTGCAGTATAAAGCCCTGGTTCTGGGATGCAGCCCTGTAGTGTACTGGGTCCACTACAACACCTGTAAAAAAATGCACTCAAACTCCATAAGGCGTTGATTAAAACATCATTTACTGGAGCCAACACCAGGAGGAAAAAGAGGATCCAATGAATAACCCTGCATCCCTTCAGCTGCTGGGAACCCCGAGCTGCACCGCATGGGACACGGTTCCAGTCAGGGCACAGCGCAGGTCCGTCCAGGGAGAGATTCCCAACCCTTTAGTGTTTAGAGCTCTTACCAGGTTTCTCAGAAGGAAAATATTTCTGCGCTTAAGCAAAAGGATGAGTGAATCCTCCTGACTTCCTTGGTACCATTTGACATGGAAGCTTGTCAGGAGCTTTTGGAAAACTCAGCGCATCCCTCCATCCCATGAGTTGACTGCACCACCCCCGCCGCCCCGTATGTCCACACGCTTGGCAGGAGCGTCCCTCAGAGGGGCCGTGGTGTGGTGAGTGACCATCCCGTGCGTACGGTCATGTGCATAAACACACCGTTCACTCGCAGCAGTGTGTGGCACCCTTTTATTCCAGACTCTGCCAAAGGTCTTTTGCCTTGGCTGATAGCTCCCTGGATTCCCTGTAGGGCCGTTTGTGGGGACGAGAGTTGCCTGGCAGCCCCTGGGCCATGAGAGGCAACGCGCCTTGGCCGGCGGCTCCTTCAGCAGAGGCAGCAGAGCACCACCTAGGCCTGCTGCTCTTGCTAACATCCAGCTCTGCACCTGGCTACGCTGCTCACAGCATTTTTACCTCAGCCATTTGCAGTGCATTACGGGCAGCACAAGCCACCCTCCCTGCTTCACAAAGTCACCCTTTGCCAGGTGCCCCTCAGGATCCCCCACACAGTCCCAGTTTGCATTTGATCTACTGTTGCCTGCAGGTTTCCTGTCCTCCTGCTTTGCACAGGCTTTCTAGGGAAAGTCAGAGAATGACTATGACCTTGCACTAATTACTGTAATGCATCCAAGAACCAAGGTTCTTGATAGACTTCATTAACACTTCATATACTCATTTGTTCAAGATTTCCTTACCTATCTACATTAAAATGCAGGAAAGAGAAACTAACTGCAATGCATAGCAAATCCTGAGCAGTGCTAATACCAACACAGTATTAGACGGTGGTTTTAAACACAGAAACAGCAGGTAAAAATCATAGTGTATCTCCTTCTTTCATTCTTACACCCTCTCTGCCCACCAAGAACTGCTACCATGTACCTATTTCAAAGTTGCTATTTTCAATTTTCTGTATTTTCAGCTGTTTAGAACTCACCACACAGCACTCCTCCTTAGGAGTTTAGATTTGCTTTGATTGTGCCCAAAATCAGCAGCCCAAAGCAGCAGACCATGCACCCTCAGATGTGAAAGGTCTTGCTGTGAATGACTAAACTTCGCCCTAACAGTGACAAGAAAGAGGAGAGCACCATGATATGAAAATTGGGTGTGCAGGGACTGCCAGTCTGAAAATGGCTATGCACTCCTAAGTCACTTGAAAATAATTCTGTAGAAATAATTCTAACCTTTGCATACACCAGAAAGCTGAAAACATTGAGTTTTCTTGGTTCACATAAAGAAAGAGTAAAAATCAAGGACAGCCCAAGAAAAGCCATCCCAGCAGCAGCTCTCCTTGGGGCAGCCAACAAGCCCCACATCCCTGTTTGTTGACTGCAGGACCAACTACCTGAAGGTCACAACAATTTGCATCATTTGGGGACAGTAATTCTCAGTGATACTCAAGATTTCAGAGACAAACGTATTACAAGATTCTGCAATCTCATTGTCCCTGTAAATTTAATGGAGACGTAACCATCTCTAAAAAGGTCACAAACAAAAGTTCAGGATCCTCAATCACTTCTGGCAGGTCAGACTCAGATTTTGACATTTTACGGCCCATCTTAAAAGGCTGCGTAGCCCTACATCTATCATTAAGCACTTCAAAAATTGTAAGAAGGAGCAAGAACCGCAAATCTTTTTGATGAGAATAGACTTCAGGTCTTGGAATCATCCAGATTTCCTCCCACATTAATTTCAGAATACAACGCCTAGTTCAGTACCTGAATTCAACCTAGACATGTTGTAGGGGAAGACACCAAACTACCTCGTTAAAATGAGTAGTCTTTTATATTACATTTTTATTTTGCAAGAAAATAAATTATACAACTTAAAAAATAAAATTCAAAAATTAAGCAGTACATCAAAATAGTTCAGCTGGACTGCCATACAGAAACTACCACCATTCAAAATTGTACAGCATTATTATCTTGGTAGTGGCACACATTCAAAATTGTAAATACCATACGTAGATAGATATTACAACTCAGGAACTCAAGTTTGCTCAACACTCCAGACTACATATAGTGTATATGACAGGAAAGCTTTCATGTGTTGTTTATTTCACAAATATGACCTCAAAGACTTACAAAGATAGCATCCCAGTCATTTGAATGAAAATAGAAAACTGTTTAAGATAGCAAATCTTTCTGTAAAACTATCAAATCTTTTGCCAATTGTGTTTTTAAAATTTGCACTTTACAGGACAATGGCATCCCAATGCAAATAAATGTAACGTGAACATTCAAAACATTTATAGTAAGTTTAAAAAGGTGAAAACAAGAAAGTCGCATTTTGTTTTGGAAATGCAATTGCATTACAGTCATAACAAATGAAAGGTAGATGAGTGAAAATAGAAGCCAGGGACACCAACGGTGGAAGGAGGAAAATGGAAGACTTCAGAATTGAAACTGAGATCCTCATCAAGACGCTGGGACAGAGAAAGATTTAACAGTATTTCTTAATTAAACCCATTACGAGCGGTTTCCCCACCTCTTCGACAACGAAGTTCATTCCGTAGCTGTTCACCGTGGCAGTGTGTGTGGCAACGTGTTTTTCAGATGCAGCACCTCTTCAAGCTAGGTCTTTGGACATATATACTCAGAGCTAAAAACTGCAGCTTTAAAAGTGCGTTGTTGCCATATTGCAATTGAAGAATAGTTCATTTTTATTTCGATCTGAACGCCACCCTCCCTCAAAGAGCAGTTTGCCCCAGGTTCTCTCTGTGCCCCAGACGGTACTTGTTTCAAGTGTGTATTGGTGAAGGTAACCTGATGAAGGAGCTAAATGAGTTTCTGCATCTTCAACAAATTTGCTGGTGTGATTCTCAGATTTAATTAAAGAATGAAAAATAAATCAACTACCCACATCCATTTCCGTTATATATGTTCAAATAAAAATGACCATATTATAGGCACATAACCCCATTATATTTCTGCATCCCAGATGCTGAGAAGTATATAGGTAACATTTAGGTTATGTTTTTATATCTACTAATTGGAGGGAAAATGGAGCTAATTAGCTTTTAGCAATCCACTGCTGCCTGCATACACACTGACTCTGAAGCAGTCAGATTTGAGATACAACCTCAAACTTCTCTCAAATTAAACCAATGGCTTTGCAATGAGTATTTCCACCTCTTCGGTCACTGGTATGTGACAATCTCAAACCTTATACTCTCCAATTACATTTTGGACTCTTACCTTGCCCCCCTAATTATCTCAAGTGAGCATTTATTACTTTTAATGGAGGTTACAAATACTGAAAATCTCATAGCACAAAGGTTTTATTAGAATCTTGTCTTCTGATTTATAATATCCAAATAGTTTTTATCAGTTAACTACATAGAGCAGCACTTGCTTTTGATTCTGAATGGCAACATTACAGGGCTAACATAAGAGATGCAGTATTTTTAAACAGCATCCACTTTTTGAGTACCAACAAAAGCAAATAAGATAACCGAAATTTCAAATTTTAATTTCCCTGGTCTCAATTTCTCTCCATCTGTTGCTCATGAAACCCTCATTCCTGTAGATTTCTTATCCTGCAGATTTCTTGCCCAGGACACACGTACTGTTCTCAGTCACACTGGCACTTCCATTAGTAACAGACCATGCAGCCTGTTTAAAGGGGACAAACAGCCATTCTTGTAGTGACCCTGTTTTAAACTACTCTTTTTATCCTTTGCAGCAGCCGTATGAAAACAAAACTCTTCCCCTTATTTCCTGGGAGATTTTACTTTTAGAGT